GCTGATGACCAGGGCTGGGATAAAAGATAGATAAAGGGTGCGCCAAGATGGGTTGGGTGTTTGAGCAGCTCCAGGAGTCAATGGAGCCCCGGAACGGCGACAGAAACTAATACAGTCCCAGGGAACAACAATCAGCAATATTTTTGTGTGACAAGATCTATCAATGGGACGCTGGACCCGGTTTCCAGCAGGTGCCGCTCCCCACCAATAGATGAAGCAGCCCCACAGTCAAGTCCTCAATTCTGGCGGTTCTCGTACCACTGCTGGGATAGAGGGATGGCACAAGGGCTTTTCTTTAAGAAAAAAAAAAAAAAAAACAAACAGAATGCTGCACGATTTCCCTTTCCCCTCCATCGATAGATGGTGTGTAGCAATCCAACTCTGTCACACGTGATTGAAAACGGGAAGTACAAGGTATACTAGGGCGCTAGTGGGTCCTGGCCCCAGGTGGGGTGATGAGAGCACCTTCCCTGGTAGAAATGGTCAATTTTAAAATTTTAAACGATTCTTTTTTCCTTTTTTTTTTTTTTTTTAAGAGAAGAGATGTCAGCATCAACACATTTTCTGGTTCTCTCTTTTGCAGGTTGAAGGACTTGGTTAGTGAACTGTCAGGCTTACTGGCAACGGCACGTGGCTTGAACAAGTACGTCGAATCTGGGCTGATTAAGGCCTCCACTTCAACCTCCATCCCCTCCCTCCCCCCCCCCTCCCCCACCCCTTTCCCTTATGTTTAACTCTCCCGAGTAGTTGGTCCTTTCTGTGTCATTCGTTTTTTTTTTTGTTTTTTTTTTTTTTTAAGCCAATGTGGACGTGGTTGTGTAGATGTGAGCATTACCTGTATCTGACCTGTTGATTTTTTTTGTACCTGGACCAAGCGTTTCCAGCTTAGGCCCGGATTTGTTTTTTGGTGTTTACTTGTCGATTTTTTTTTGGTGTGTACTTGTCGTATGTAGTAGGACCCAACCCGCTAATCAAGTGGACTTGGGCCCTCAACGCTTTTGCTGGTACCGGTTCAGCTTTTTTCTACCGTAGGTTCCCCCCGGGACTAGGTTTGTTTAGTATATAGGTAATCATTGCAATGTCTTCGAGCTCTTCGATGGGACTAACGTCTTGCGACGCCCTCGAGCGTCCGGACGCGTGAGGGTTGAGCAGATGGGAGTGGGTGCGGGTAAGAATCGTTAGTATGGGTCAGTAGGTGGACAAACCTCCTGAAGACGACAGCATGGCTGCCGTCGAAACGCGTCGGGGACGCCGTTTCTCTTGTATTAAGGCTTTCAATGAGATATTTGCAATTGTCTATTGCACTACTAGGCGTTTACGCCTACTTGCTCATGTGTTGTACATGAAGTGTGATTTTCCATACCTACCATACTTGCGTCAGCCCTCTATCCCAGCGGTGTGTCATTCTTAGACGTTGCCGTATGGGTGGTTTAAACCACCAGTGCACGGCCCCAGCCTTGCAAGATTGCTTCATCACCTGCTCCAAAAATTTTGGAGGCTCGGGGCTACTGTACCACGATGGTTGGTGGCACCAGGCTGCCAGCCAAAAAAGAAAAGAAGTGTGTTGCTGGCGGTTCTGCAAAGCTTGCCGTGCAGAGCGGCGCAAGCCATAAAAGAAAAAGAAAAAGAAACGTGTGTTGCTGGCGGTTCTGCAGAGCTTGCCGCGCAATGCAAACAAGTCTTGGCTGCGGGTCACCTCAGAGTTCCTTACAGAGTCTCCGGTCACGTCGCTGTTTGCTGACGACCTCACCGTGCTCATACGGGCGGACCGGGACAGTTTGCAGGCCCTTACTCAAACTATTCATCTTTTTTCACTGGTGGCCGACATGAAAGTCAACTGGGGCTCAAAGACAGAAGGGTGGTGGCTCCACCCTCAAGATGAGCCCCCGCCGTCGACCCCAATTGTGGCATGGGCGCGAAAAGAGGATGCCATCAAGATCCTCGGAGTGAAGTTGACGGCAATGGGCCCCCCACTGGACCATGGGGATAACGTACTAAATATAGCCATAGAGCGGCTTGCAATATGGGAGGGCTTGCACACCTCGCTGGTGGGGCGGGCGCTGGCCATCAACAACGCGGTTCTTGCAGCCATATGGTACAAACTGGCGGTATGGCCACTGACTCCTCAGCAATATACTAGGCTACGCAAGGCGCTCACATCATACCTATGGAAGAATTCCGGCAAATCGGAAGGCTGTTTGAATAGGGTGTCTTGGGACACCCTTACGCAGCCGAGAGCCAAAGGAGGCTTGGGGTTATTAGACCCCCAAAGGGAAACTGAGGCCTTGATGTTCAAGGTTCTAACCAAACTCCTCGTTGGGAACAACATTCCATGGAGACCCCTGGCCTGCCTGCAGATTGCAGGCCTAGCACCGGAATCACTCCCCCCTAACCACATACACCCCTTCCGATGGCTGACAAATAATCACTGGTTAGTCTCGGGCCTTCGCAGCTGCAGACAAACAACTGGCACAGCACGTGCCATCAGGCAGGATATCCATAATGACCCCCTGTGGCCTACTATGATCAAGCTATGGAGGACGCGAGGCCCCAAACAAAAACCCACCCCCAATAGGTGGCACACCATACGGAGACAGCCGCTGTTTGGAAACCCCTTTATCCTGGACGACGCCGGAAACGCCTTCACGCTCACAGCTAACTCTCCGTGGCTTCACTGGGTTAAGGGAGGGATTTATACAGTGGCCGACCTCTGGGACCATGCCCGGCAGAAATGGGTCTCGCCGGACAGCCTGAGACCCAGGTTGAAGCACGCAAGGAATGTTGAAGACAGAGTCCGTCAGCTCATCGAAGCGCTCCCGTTGGCCTGGCAGCAAACCCTTAAATCAGGTCCGACGATTCAACCAAACGACTGGGTGGTCAGATATGCAGACCTTCCCTGCCCGGAGTGAGTCTACAGAGTGACTGACATGGACTGTGAAAGGCGCTCGTTGGAAGCCTTTAGCTTGACCAATCCGACAGACCGTCTCTCACGCTTAACCAGGGACGACAACTCCGACACCACGGAACCATGGGGGGGTCTGATGATCATCAGAGTGGTAGGAGACCAAGACAAAGGATTTTTGGCATATGAACCGACCACCCCCATTGCCCTGCTTCCCTTTGATCCAGAGGAATGGGAATGGGCTGATCAGCAAAACCAGCATATCTGGGACTACACGGTCAAAGGGGGATACAGGGCAGCTAGGCCTCAGCAGCAGATTGCTCAGACAATCTCACTGCGATGGGAACGAGACTCACCACTAAAATCGCAGCTACTGCACAATCTCCCCTGGACAAAGTACGCTAAACTAATGCCCACAAACCTTAGAGCCCTGCAACGGCAAATCTTGCATCGCTGTCTTCCTACGCCTGATTGGATTGTGTCAAGAACCGACCTAGAGCAGAAAGGGCTGCTGTCCCCAATCTGCACCTACTGTGGTAGGATGACACAGCCTGCTAGGGAAACTCTTGAACATTGCCTCCTGGCATGCCCAATGGCTGCCCAGATATGGAGATGGTGGGATGCAGCGTTCCATTCACTCACGGACCAGCATATCCCCTGGGACTTGGGCCTCATCCTCCTAGGTGAAAACCAGCAACTGCTTGCACACTGGACTCCCTTTGCCACAAATCTCTTCACTTATATGAGGTTGCATGTCCTAATGCAAGCCTGGAGGGCAAGGTGCTCTCACGAGAGAAAAGATCACCAATTTGGGCTTCAGAAAGCACAACAGGAGATAGAAGGCGAAATCAGATCCCGCACTCAAAATGCCTGGAAGATCATGAAACAAGACTACCATGCTCAAAAAGATGCTGCCCTCAAGCTGACTATTCGGGAGTCGTATCGTCAGATCTGGCAGGATCCCCACCGTGTCTTTTCTGAGGTCCGAGACGACCTGACCATACAATGGAAACCCTGGAGGGAGGGAGAGCTGGCCTGGCAAAGGAAACCACTGGGCGACTTTGCAGTCCCATTCCTCCCGACCAATTTTGTGCTCGTCCCCTAAACTCTCACTGCATAAAGACGTCCTCCCCAGTGTACAGGGGTCTATTCATTACTATCCCCTTCCCAACCTGCCCCGCTTGCTTCCCTGCCCCCCTGTCCAGCTCACCTRCCTTCCCCCTGCCCTGCTCACGACCCTGCCCCSCCGATCAATCACTATCCGGCTGCATTCACAGGGGTGTCGGTGTAACTCCAAGACTATGGACTGCGACAGCAACAGTTCGCTGAACACAGGGGCCAGTGTCTGCAGCTGCAAGGGGCCCACAGATCACAGGGGCTAGGTGCTGCAGCTGGAAGGGGCTAAGAGATCAGCTCATGTCGTCAGACATGAGATGCCGGAGGCTTAGCAAAGCTCCGGTGACGGTGCAGGCACCAGTTGGCCACCCGCCAAATATGGGACAAGCTTCGTGGACGTATGTTGCAAGGGGGCCCTATAGTGGGCCAATGACATTCTGGGCCTTCTCATGGCAAGGGGATGAGCTGTAGGGAAGGGGGACAGGGGATAGGACAAGGGTTGAGATCAACTAAATGACGAACTTTGATGAGTTGTGACTCAGTTTTGCAATGTAATGGGTTGAAGGGTATGGGAATACTGGATGGAATGAGGGTTGTGATTGACTGAGGATGACGTAAGATGTGTTATGGCTCGGATTTACAATGTCATGGGACGCTGGACCCGGTTTCCAGCAGGTGCAGCTCCCCACTTATAGAAAGGAGCCATCCAATAGGCGGGCTAGTAGAAGGGGTGTCTGCTCTTACCAGCATCCCTCCTACGCCTGGCAGCGATGTTTTTGCCAAAAAAAAAAAAAAGAGGGTGTTGCAGGATCAAATCAATAACAGATGGGCCCGACCCCTGAATGTGGACCGGTCCCTCCTCACACCCATTAAGTGGTTCAATAGTAACAAAGCTAGGCCGACAAAAATCACATCCTTGTAATGGTAGATCAGCCACCGTTGCCTTCTGACTAAAACCTGGCTCATCGACCATACCCACCTGAAACAAAAAAGGAAAGTGCTCCCGTGGTGCCACAGGTGCCTGACTGCTTTCCCTGCGCAAAAGTGAAACGAGACCATTGAACATAATTTTATGCAGTGCCCAGTGGCAGTGCTGACATGGTACTGGTGGGATCGCATCTTGCAAAAAGCGGTGCCCGATGTTTCCTGGTCATGGTCCTGGCAGGACACTGTCCAGCAATGGGGAGTGCACCCCCCTTTGCGAGCAATCTGTTCAGTCTTGGTGGACGGTCGGTTTTGTGGGCACTCTGGTGGCAGCGGTGTCTCCTTGTTCTAGAAGGGGTAAAAATAGAAGGGCACGAACTGACTGGGCAAATAAAGGAGCTCGTGCAATTGGAACTGACGAGGAGATGGAGGGACCTCAAGCCTCAGCTAGACATCTTTCAGAGGACTCATGATATCAAGAGGGTGATTGCGGCGTTTTGCATGGAATGGTTGGGTGGACAGCGGGGGGTTTGGATTGCTCGTGTTGAATGGGCAGCGGACCAGGCTATGGTGTTGGGGCAGGGACTTGTGAGAGACTACAGACTAGCATTCAACGACTGGACTAAAATTGACCCGTCCTTCCTGATGAGACCCCAGTCTGATTTCCCAGATCCTCCCCCCCCCCTTCCTTGCCCTGGTGGAAGCCATTGTGTGACAGTGCAGCAAGTCCTGGTGCCCCCGGAGGTGCTGGCTGATCGCCTCTCAGCAACGGAGACAAATCTCAGACCCCTCATATTCCAAAATGCTGCATCTAAAGGGAGGTAGGAGGCCTAGGAGGACAGGGAGTCAGGTGCCTCGCAGCAGGGCGAGGAGGTCTTCTTTCTTCTCAATCTTTCTCTTACAAACTGCATCCTGCTCAGTTAATCCCCTGCCAGCCAGGGCAGTCAATGCTGGCAGGCAGACATTTGATGTGACACTTTGGATGTATAATGGGACGCTGGACCCGGTTTCCAGCAGGTGCGGCTCCCCACCAATAGATTGGAGCAAATTAAAAAAAAAAAAAAAAAAAAAAAAAAAAGTCAGA